CGACCAGATAAGGTGTGGATATAGTAGTCAATGTAGTCAAAGTAAGTCTGCATCATCGTGAAATTAAGTAACTAGTAATTGAAATTTAAACAGGAATTTGGTTTTGCGGAGAAGATCGATAGTTAAGTAGACACTGCTAGTAGTAGACCATGGCTCTCGCAGACAAAATTGAACAGTGAGATCATTGCCCGTAACCTTACTTTGTGCGACCTCGGACAGATGTGTCACCAACACTATCTGTAGTTTGCACAAGACTTCACTGAGTAAAAAGAAGTATATTGAGACTGAGATTCAAATTCCATTGATATACCCACCACTACATATTACTGAGCAAGTCTGTTGGTCAGGTAAAGGCATTAGGGTAGAAAAGATTGCAATTATGGCTGGAGGTTTCCTCCCCTATCACGAACCAGGCAGTACGTTGACCATGATCCCTTCTCCACTACCATTGATCATGGAAAGAAACTGACCACATCAGTTGTCAACGTTCTCATCCTAATCTCCTTTTTCTTCTTCCTCTCCCTAGCGGAATGGATCTCTTCAAAAATCATCCGCGCCGGCATCATTGGCCAGATCGCCGTCGGTATTATTTACGGAACGCCACTGGCGAACATCCTGCATGAAGATTGGCAATCCACTTTCCTTGCGCTAGGTTATATCGGCTTGATACTCATCATCTTCGAAGGCGGGCTAGGAGCCCGTCTTGACCTCCTAAAGAAGAATCTTTTTCTGAGTATGATTGGCGCTGCAACAGGGGTTCTTTTTCCGATCGGACTTTCTTACCTGCTCCTCTACTTGGGATTCGGCTATGGTGAGTAACTATACATTATACTTAACTATGATATCAAAGGTGACACATCCCGACAGGTGCTGTTGAAACTTTCATCGTGGGAGCATCTTTGTCTGCCACCTCTCTTGGCACTACCTTTGCTGTTATCTCAACTGCCTCCAGCACAGTCGATCTCGCCCAAACTCGCGTCGGATCGATCCTCGTAAGCGCAGCTGTCATTGACGATGTTGTCGGCCTGGTAATGCTAAGGTAGATAAGCTACTTGCCCTAAGCCCCAGATCATCCCCAGTGTTCAAACTCACGTAAAACAGCGTCATCAGTGATCTAGGCGAATTAAGTCAAGGTCACTCTGTCAATCTAGGCTGGCTAATTGGCCGCCCGATCGTAGCCTCTATCGGAATGGCTATTGTAACCCCCCTGGTAACAAAGTATCTCTTCGCGCCACTGTTCCGCCGCTATATCGAGTATCACTTCGCTCGGTTCGACCACATCTCCAACATCATTCTGATGATCTTGGTCCTCTGCGCATTTATCAGTATTGCCGCATATACGGGGACTTCCATCCTCTTCGGTGCATTTCTGGCTGGTACATTCTTGACTTATATCCCTAGTAAACATCCAGATGGACCGTTTGTGGTTATGAGCCGCGAGGAAGGCGAAAGGGAGGAGAACAAGAGTCCGACGTTTGTACACACCTTCGAGCGCTATCTATTAGATGTGCAAAAGTATCTTATGGAGCCGCTTTTCTTTTCGAGTGTTGGATTCGCCATCCCCTTTGTGCAGCTCTGGACGGGGAAGAGAATCTGGAGGGGTATCGTCTTTACCCTTCTTATGCTGTTTGCAAAGGTATCAGTTCCCGTTCTCTCGCTAAGCTTGGTTCTGACATGACAACTAAAACAATGGCCAGCTCATCGTCGGAATCTGGGTCCCTCTCTGGCAATTACTTTCCAGTTCCAAACTCCTGAACAGAAAGACGGCGAAAGAGTGTCCTAGCGAAGAGTACCCCAGCGAAGACAGCACAAAACCAGTCTGGTCCACAGTCTGTCTCTCTGGCCTACTTCTCGGCTCGGCCATGGTTGCCCGCGGCGAGATCGGCCTCCTCATTGTCGAGGTCGGGTACAATGAGACTTCGTACGTGAGCGAGGATGCCTTTATAACCGCCGTCTGGGCGATTCTGCTTAACACAGTCCTTGGCCCTGTAACTGTGGGGTTGCTGGTGAAATTTCATGGAAAGAAGATAGAGAAGGGAGCATGGGGCCTTCAGGAGGCTGTTCCTGCTGGTGGTGGCGGTAGTGGTGATTCAAGCATCGATTCCTCAGTTGGGTGATATGCTAGGCACTATACCATTTCAACACTCCAGAGGGCCACTCAGGTCTGGCCCAGAGCCTTTTCCCCACGAATATCCAACCTTCAGTCAACTGCTTACTTGCAAAATAGTCGACTACAGGGTATCATTCAGTAAGCGCAGGAGATGAATATTCACTGCAGGAAAATCGGATGAATCAACATCGACTCTAGAACCGATGATCATGTCAAGACATGCTTATTATGCTGTAGATATTCGCAATCTTTGAGGCAGCATCGAAAGGCTATTGTCTGGCACAAAGCACGCGTCAAGCCTGAAATGCCACCAAACTATACTATCTTCCTGCAGGGATATTATTCCCGAACGCCCACATCAATTATATCCCACTTTTCTTCACTTGGCAATTCCTGCTTCAGTGTAGGGCTGAGTCATGTGAGCTCGTAGCAGTCGGGGCACTATAGTAACATAAGATCTAAGGAAAATTCTGACCATCGGGCGTGCATGACTATATTATCTGATGATGATTAGGTGCCTAGTGTTCGACATACATGGATATGATGATAGAGCAGAGGTGACGGAGTCGAGTTTGGAATCGACGGGGGTAGAGGAGAATTCGGTGCTTGGGTGGCTCTTGCCATGCTGTGTAAAATAGAGTGCAGTTGGTATAAAGAATGCCGAGACATCTCATCGTGAAAAATAACAACGAAACAAAATAATAGTATCAGTAGTATCAGTAGCTGCTATAGCAAGATTATTTTGATGTCCCCTCTGTGCGCGCCCCGCCCCCCCTTCTGGACCTCCTTTCAGCCTTTTGCTTGCTGCAGGAGGATTTCGTTGCTGAACACCAATAGCAATATGTCTACGGGGAACTTTATATACTTGTGTCTGGTTGATGGATAACGTTAAGGGCAAGCTCCCTTGGTGATATAGACTATCAATTTGATATAAAGGTTCAATCAAAGACTGGGGCGTGGCAACTTCAAAAGATGAATAACAGCAGATGATTCAGATAGCTCGGACAATGAATATTGAGGCAAATCTTCCTATTCTCATAAACAAAGAGCATTTTAGGGGTGCACGATATCGCAAAGCATAACCTAACAAGACAGCTAAACAGGTAGAGCAGCTAGGGGGAGACATCTCTGTCCTCGGGGTCAGACTCATATTTGTCAGATGAGCGGTCAGTTCTCACTTTTTCCATCAAAACCTCAGCTTTACAAATTAACCAGGAGGTAGGCTCCCCCTCCAGTTCCTCGAGTCGTAGAGGCCGATGGCTGAATGGTACGTATCGGATTGGAGTATCGTACCGGCACACTCCCGGCCGAACCACGAGGATTACCCGGCCGCGTGGCTTGGGGACGTACAGTGGAGGATCCTCTTGCTTTGCCGAGAACATGAGCCCCGTAGAAGTATCAAATTTCTCCAACTCAGGAAGCTGATGAACCTTCACCTGTCCACCCAGCATAACCTCGTGGTTGGTGAGGGCTCGTGCAGTGTCCTGAAATAATTTCACCAGGCGCTCACGGCGCGCCGTCTCTTCTTCTGCACCAGCCAACTCACGCAGGAGCAGCTGGAACAAACTGTCTGCCAGAAGTTGATCCGCCAGGCCTTTTGCCATGTTTGCCTGCCGCTTGCGGCTCCTGTCTCCAAATTCATAAGGTGTTTTGTCCCGAGAGGACTTGGCCATATCGTCTTCTTTCAGGTTGGCAAGACTGAGTGTGACCGACTTCCACCATACAGCATTGACCGGGCTTGCTAAGAAGACCAGGGATGACAGTCCCGCCTGTTAGACAAAGAAGAACCCTTTCATGTATTGGAAACGAGCTGGATTACTCACATTCGTAGTATCTTTCATACAGATACTGGATTCGTTCGGAGAACGACAAGTCTCCAGTCTTGTCAGTTCCATCACGTTTCCCATCTAGGAACCTGAACGGCTTCTCGAGCAAATGAGTGAATATAGTTTGGTAGATCATTGCTTCGGCCAGATAATAGTGAAATACAGCACGATATGAGGGAGACAGGAGGGACTGAATCTTAGTCCAAGATTCTTGGATACAGTATTTATCAAGTCTTCGAATGATCATCTGTTTCTGTACTCTGGAAAGGGATGGTGTATCCACACAAACAAATGCATCAGTCCAGGAGTGGACTTCGTCTTGGAGGTTGAGATAATCTATTTTGAGTCGACTCGTATCGGGGTAGTATCCCACTTGACTGAGTGTCATGCGATGACAATGGCTTTGATATTTATCAAAGTCCTCGGCTGTCAGGTGCACCGAAGGCCTTCTGGACGGTCGGGTATCAGACGGTGACTTGCCCTTCGGGGATTTAGTAGGAGAAGGCTCAAGCGGCGCATTGGCACTCTCTGGCAGAGAATCTTGTGGCTTCTATGTGAAGATCAGCAATGTAAGTGGAAGTCCGGGGATTGCCAGGGTTGGGAGGTAGATGCAGGATGATAGGCAGGAGGTGAGACGGGGGCCAACAACCTTTGGCTTCGTTGCGTTACGGCGTCGTTTACCCGCCATGGTTTTCAGAGTAATTCGAAGACGCAGGATGGTGTGGACGTGATGATGGGAAGAGAGGTGATGGAGGAACGACAAAGGAGGAGTTAAGAGGGTGTAATGTATCACTCTGGGCATCAAAGTCCAATCCCGTGACTCTGTCTTGTCTCTCAAGCCAGCAAACGCCGAAATAATAGCAGCAGCAGCAGCAAAAACCTTCTCCTACCCCGCCTGATCATGGTTTCTTTATCTCACGACCGTACCAAGGCTAGGGTCTCTTTATCGTGGAACTGTACCAAAGGCTACGATCTCATTGTCTCGTAGCCGTACCGTTCCTGCCTTTGACATCCAATCGTTCTTGTTACTCGTATCTCTCAAAACTTCTCACATTTCAAAAAGCATGGATCGGTCCAGATTGGTTATTAATATCGAATTTGGGGCGAGTAAAACAGGTAAAACTCATGCCCTCCAGATGCTTCCTTCTCCCCTATGTGTTCATCACTCACTCCCCATTCTGAATAGTCGTCGGCTATCATGTCACCACAAATAGGCGGAATGGGCTTCCTACGTTCCTACGACTACACGATACCCATATCATTCCAACGGCGATCGCGTACCCCCAACGTGGCTTGTCATACTATATTGGTCTAGATGCCCAACGCCAAAAGAACTGCATTTATTGGATAAAACACATATTCGACGAGGCTCGCATATTGCGAGACTCTGAAGACGAACTTATCAAGGAGCTCGTCGAGTCGACATGGACGCACCTACCTCCCAGGCAACGGGAGGATCCATCCCTTGTCGTGTCTGACTTCCTGGGAAAGATATTAGGACATCTCCAGAGTGCCTTGAAAAATGACCCCACACTCGACGGAATGCCAAAAGTCTTCATATTTACCACGCCATCTACTTGGTCAAGTTCTGCGCATATGAAGATGGAACAGGCTGTATACTCAGCAGGGTTTGCAAGCCCTCAAGACGCAAGCGTCTCTTTTACTTCAGAGGCCGAGGCGGTCGCCGTATACGCCGCCAGTGAAGAAGGATTCAACATGGGGCAGCTTTGTGAAGTGAGTATATGACTACAGGCAAAAGCCCTTTTAAAATCTTCGGAATTAATCTGATGACCGGGGGCTTCTAAACAGACAGGTGATGGAGTTGTGGTGGTCGATTGTGGTGCCAGCACCGTCGTATGAGTTCTTCTAAGTAACAAGGAATCTCTTTCCTATACTTGTAGCAGGACTAGGACATAACTACATTTTCGGTCGATCAGAAAACCCCTTTTGAATATTAAAGATTGACAGCATTCACAAGTGAGTAAGGGCCTAAATGAGGGCATGTTTTCAGCTAATCCTTTGTAAGGTAGCGCCTTTGGGGCTGTTCAGCTCCAGTCTCTGATATATGAAGCGTTGCAGCAAAGCCGGAGGTCTGGTCCGATGACGAGAAGCAAGGTCAAGCTAGCTCCGTTTGCCCCATGGGCCCGGCAAAAGTTTCCATATGGTCCTGTATCAATGCCCACTGATACCGGGCTTCCGGATGATGGTTTGCGGCTGATCTACGATAGTGTTGCCATCAAGATCATTAGCCATATTCGGCGTGAAATTGCTTGCGCTAACATCTGCGCTGGACGCAAAGTTATTAAGGTACTCTACTATCCGGTAGCTCTCGTACTGCAATAAGCGACTAATGTCTCTGTCAGAGACTGCTTTTAGTGGGAGGTCTGAGTGGCTCGGCCGAGATCTCAAACGCCATTCAGTACGCATGTACAAACGATTTCGAGATCGAATTTCACCAGCCACAATACGAGTAAGATTGCCGCCATCTTCGTCACAGTATCCCCCCGTTCTTTTTCCATTCAAAGCTTACAAGCACTTCGTAGTTTTCGGAAAATAGCCGTTTGTATTGGTGGCACACTGCGCGGCCTCAGGGGACCGCAGCTGTCCTTCAAATTTTGGAGATATTATTATCTGGTCTACGCGGACCGGCAGACCACCATGATCGTCAGCAAGGTAATGCGTGAGCCTGGTCTATCGGGGTGCTACTGATGGCTTAACCTTCTTCGCAGGGAAGCCCCTATGACAACGAGTACACCAATCGAATCGAGATAACACTGCCCCGAAGCACTGACGGGGCCCATACCATTTTGGTTGTGGAGAGTGCGCAGCAGGTAGACCTGCTCGAATCGGTCGAAGACCAAAACAAGGTTGTTGGCAGAATTAACTGCGACTTGTCACAAGTGCCGGGAAACTGGCAACTTCTGAACGTCTTGGTCAAATACCGAGCCACAGTGAGATCTGAAGGACAACATCTTCCTCCCGAGCGCTTGCTCCATCTGGCTGTGCACGAGTCGGAAAGTGAAGAAAAACAGCTAATAGGCCACACGCGAGTCCTCATGCAGAGTGGGTTGTGAAAGCAGTGCTTGGAGTTTTATTCAGCTACGGTGGGCAGGATGGGTAGGGGAGAAAAGAATTGTTTGGACACATAGAATGTAGAATGTTTTGGACGGTTAGAATGTCAATTTCTGTAGGTACCGGGTGGCAAGGTGTCCTTCCTCGAGTTGTCCTGTACAATATACTTCGTAGGATCTGTTATGTAGACCTCGCACGGAAAGATTGGATGGAAGAGCGGAAGCTGTACAACCGGTAGGACCAGAACTTACTACAGCCCTCTACCACGGGTACGTAAGAATCTAAAGAAGCAGATACATGGCCCCTATCTAGCATGACAACAACAAACACCACCCTCCCTTGACTCCAAGGCCTTACTTACCATGCATCTATTTTTCAGGTCATTTCCATAAAACCCACTGTCAGGGCCTATACCCTATGCCCCCTCCGAAAGAACCAGCTCCTGTCCAAACATCAACATACATAACCGACCATGTCTTGATAAATGTCCACAGACCCCTCACCAAGATTGAAGAATAAGTAAGGCAACTCAAAGAAGCCAATGAACAAGTCTCCCCTAACCTTTGAGGTAATATCCATCTGTTTTCTTTCACGACGCCCCCCCGCCCCCAAATTTCATCGGTCGAATTGTAAAGTGTACCAAAAGTTTGACGATATGGCGCGGCCGCCTGCATCGAATCCTGAACCTGGACTCCTATTCCCCCCTCCCCTTTTCCCCGGTGCTCGTGCCATATGGGTTGTTATTGCTATGTTCACCACCTAACAATGAGAGAGAGTAGCCAGTATAGCTTTCATTAGTAGATGATATTTGCTTCAGTACATTTACTGAGCATACAGATAATAGCCTCGAATGGAACAAAATCTACCAACTTATGATCCACGGAAGTTGATATTTACAAGCCTTCTCGAGTTGGTGGGCGAGGAATTCCTGCTTTAATAGATACTACGCGTGCAGGCATAGGCATGTCTTTCGGGCGCAGGTTGGATGGATAATGGGTGGTGCCTCGACCTCTCCCTGTCAGTCTTTATCTTAGTTCTCTCTGGGGAGATCGAGCTGGGATGCAAAGATCGTTGAAAATGTGCATCTCCTTGAAAGACAGAAGGGCCAATGGGTCAAATAGGGGGTTTTGTAATATTTAGATAAAAGGATGGAGACGGAGAGAAAGAAAGGGTAAAGGACAATGAGAAGAGGGTTTTCGTGGCACAAAGGATATCGAAATGGATGGATGGGGAAGGAAAATGAAAAACAAAAGGAGAAAAAAAGAAAGATGGGCCCGAACCGCGATTCGAACGCGGGACCTCTCGCACCCAAAGCGAGAATCATACCACTAGACCATCCGGGCTTGTACATGTAATCATGTGGCAAATAGAAGACAAAGGCTAAGAGAATGAAGATGACGAAGAAGTAAAGCCAAAAAAGATTGGAGATAGGCCCGAACCGCGATTCGAACGCGGGACCTCTCGCACCCAAAGCGAGAATCATACCACTAGACCATCCGGGCTCGTATGTGGGGTTCTCTTAGCTTTTTCCATCCATATAGAGGGTAAAAGCTCCATCCATGCTAAGTTTTTGTCGCTGTTGATGTTCCATTGGCGGCGTTCAAATATATATGTTTTGGATGGTTGGAACGCTCGAAGAATTTTCACGTCCAGCTCCGTGATGCTTATTCATCGCCATTGGCGACCCCAGCTTTCCCAGGCTATTGTGTGCTCCTTTAAGTTTCTTTTATCAGTACTAATTTCAAGTTTTTCGACTCACCCAGAGAGTCAGATTGATACCATTTTTGGAGTGAAATTCTTAGGCAACTCAGGTTGGTCATTAACAGAAGGGCTTCCTTTTTTACCTTGTCCGTTTTCTCTCTAGAGTTTGATATGCAGGTATACATACCTTTACAAAATGTTACCAATTTCATATGCAGTAGTAAGATGGCCGAAGCTTTGCGCAAGAACATATAATAGTACGAAACTGAATGAATATAACTACCTATGGCTTCCTGTGGAATGAATGCGGCGTGGTTTATATGATACTTTTGAGATGTAGCTTTTTGTCTTCAACATGGGAAACACCTACTAGCCTTGAAATCGTATCTGAATGCCAGATATATATATGAGATCGGCTAGTTTTGACTCTACGATGCAACAGTAGTACTTTGTATGTGCACTCATAGTCAAGTATTCAACTATAACCGGCTATATACTAATGAACCTCCGACGCTATTAGTAATTGTAGCCGTAGTATATATGGCATCGACGGTGCGATACCACACCATTAGTACCGAGCTTTCAAAAGCGGCCCCTGAGCAGTGAGGATACGTCAGGCCAAACTAGCTCTTAGGTTCAGCCTCAAAACAATGGAGAGAGCTTCAATGTGGGCCTGTGCTCAATCTCACGTAGCAGATCCTCCAATGATGTCGTGAACCTTACGTTATAGGGTACCTCCATATCTCCAGAAACAAAACCCGGTTCATTGATGTACATCCGGCGAAAGTAGTCACGTCCAACCAACAACGCGAAATCTTTTTTAAGTCGGATTCCGCACATCCGCTGCAATATATCTCTTGCTTTAGTTCGATCGAGGTTTAGTAGTGGTATTCTCTTGTCGCCAATATTTCCCTTGGAGTACAAGAGCGCTACGCTGTACAAGGCCCTCCGTGTCGTTAGATCCCGATATCCGAGTCGTTCTGCAAGTAGCCGGAGAATGTCTTCGGCAGCGAGCATGGCTGGCCAGTAAGTATTGTTATAATTGTATGCTGTCTCGTGCATTGCCACATTAGTGTCCCACAGAACCTTCCTGATTGCCGAGTACGTTCCAAGTCCAACAGCCTCTGCTGCCAAGTCGAGTATAGCTGAGGAAGGTGATATCTGCTCTTCCCAACTCCATATAAGGTGAAGGCTTCGAGATGGACGATTGTTCTGGGACCGTATTTGTTGGAAATCTGCACTTCCTGCTCCGTATGTCTTCTGGAGAACGGCCCTTAGCACGACCACTCTGAAACAACCATCAGTGTATCTGATGATGGATGGATCTGGAACTCCCTGCAGGAGGCATACAATATCCATTGGCTTGATCGATTCCACTGATTTCCTGATGGTCCATTTTACTTTCCACAATTTCTTGTGTCCCGTATTAGCCACCCCAGTCAAAAGCACTTGTAAATTGGTCTTCGTGTGCGTGTCATCCGCGGTGACAATGAAACCCAAGATCCGCCCACTGCACTGTATGCCTGCAATTTCCCTACCAGGCCAGGTCTTCACCGAGACCTGTTCATTCAGGAGAAACCGGATTAATCGTTGGAAGAGCTGCTCCCAGGACACCTGATAATTGGGTAACAGACCAGGTGCTTTATGGGAATCAGAACTCAGTCCCAGTAAAGCATAGATTTTATCATGCAGAATAGAGGCCTCGCTCGTATGATGCATATTGACCAATTCGGCCAGGGAGAGCTTGTTCATTGAAAGCGTTCCATACTGAGGTCGAAAGATTGCTCCACGAATCAGACGTGTGGTACTCAGCACACAGGGGCCAGCATACGAGCCCCATGCTTGAATGCCCGTGGCAAATGTGTAACCGCTCATTCTGACGGGTCCACACTGTATCTGAATATTCCGAGCGAGACCTACTTCTTGGAGAATCTGTTATGTCTCATTAGACATTGAATATCACCGCGTAAAGAGCAGGTGGAGGGGGAGGACGGTAGCCATAGCGTGGTAATACTTACCCACATGCGATAAAACCATCTCCGCTGGAACAGACTTTTTACTCCCTCAATGGGGATGCTTTCTGATGGCAGAACATAAGGCTCTCCAGCAAACACTCCCTCTGCCGCTACACGGATAGCTTCTAAGGCCCGAGTACTATTATCCGCCTCCTCGCCCAACCACACCATCACCTGGCTGGCTTGCTCATATATGCGCGCCATGTTTTGGATTTGCTCCTCTTTCTCTCGCATGTTGTTCTGGTCGATGCAAACTGCGTCGACCCATAATGTCCGTTCAAAATTAGGGCCTCGAAGCCTAAGGAGGGCGGAGTGTAAATTCTTCCCGACTGAGAAAGCCTGGTCGTTGATTGAGATGTTGCACTGCCCGTCCGCCTTATCTCCCCATACGTATGAGAGGGCGTCATACTCTTGGGCAGTATCGTCCAGAAGAGAATAATTGGAAAGCTGGCATGCGATCGGAGCGGCTCTGTCCTTGCTTGGGAGCAGACGAAGTATGCGAGTGCTGAAAGGCCCTTGATCCAGAGGAGAATATTGGAAGACGGGCATGGTTGAGAATAGTAGTACTTCTTTTGGGTCACTTTACGGGATGAAAGTCCTACAGCGTCGTTTATGAGCACTTTACACATGCAGAACAGCCGTCCCTGATATCCCGTGTCAACGATGCAACGGATGGAATGCCCATCGAATTCGTATGAAGCTGATGTGCCAATAATGGTGGGGATTAGAAAGCCGTTGAGATGCCGACCGTGCGGAATTAGCCAACGAGGTGCACCTTAGCGAGATATTCTCGTGCATCTCCTAGTAGTAGTAGAACTTAATAGAGTAAGAGTGTCGACAACCTGTCCTTGCAAGATTGGCTGGCTGTGTCCCTGCTTATCCTGGGTTCCCCGCCATGAACAACGCATCAGTTTCCGGTCCTAGTACCCCTCCCCCCCTCTCCACCCATCTAGATTAAATCATGCACGCGGCCCAAGGGGAGTACCGCCTATCTACTCTGCAACTGGCTGCGGATGCCCCACTGACAGGTGCGGATAGAGGCATTAGGCGAGAGCGGGGTTGTCACTTGTATGTATAGGCTATAACATGCTTGCGAATATTATTGAAGAATGCCGACAAGGGATTGGTTCCACATTCTGATTAGTCTAAATAAGGTAGCCCCCGAGCAGCGTCGGTCCAAGAAAATGTACGGGAGAAATATTCCGTAGACGAACGGGGATGGTCTGGACATCGTGTCAGGTACTAATATTGACTTGCTTCAGTATACTTTGGCAAATCTGCATATGCTGTCCTGGGCCATCTGCGCAAGATGGATGAACTGGCTACCTATAATATAAGTCCAATAAATTTCAATCATGAAGGTATAACATGAACTAAGTCAGAAATTAGGCAAAGGTGGGTGATTAACTGAGAATGCTCTCGCACACAGATGAAGGCGATGTGGCACTATATCACGTTATGTCTCAGAATCTAAAGTAGTTGACCATCGAGGAGGCTGAATTATAGTAATAGTAATAGTTGGTTAGGTACTCCGTAGATGGATGTTATAGACGTGTCAACCGATTCAGTACCGATGGTATAGTATAAGCCGCGGATAATGGTATGGCCGCGATAGCATCATCAATGTGCATTGAATATGGGTCACGTGATACAGACCGGGGTATTCCAATAAACAAACCTGATTAAACCACTGCAAGGCTATATCTGAGACAAACAATGAAACCTGAAGACGGGTTTATTGTTGTGGAACACACCAACTCTAGCTGGTCCGCAACGATCATTACATCTGCATCGTCGCTAATACATATCTAGTCTATTTAGCAATAGATCTGAATAATGATCAGCCACAGGGTGGGCCCGGGATGCGAGGCGCAGCAGCGGAGTAATCCACGCCAATCCGATCTGGGCGAGTAGTACCGACTTTTTGGTAGCAGTTACTGATTCGGGCCCGATTCCAACTCACCTCTTTTTCTCACCGTGCGCTGGCCTTCTTTCATTCATTCCTTCATTTGTCGCTGCTTCGCTCTTTCCCGCACCTTCTCTCTGCCCAATTTCTTGCCATTGGGAGCCTTGTTGCTGTCAGGATTTGATTCCATCTGGAAACAGCGGTTCTTTCGATGTATAGATAGAGTGGTGTCTCACTTCTGTGCCGGACCCATCTCCGCCCTTTAAAAAAGTTCCACACACTCCTTTATCAATTTCATTCGATCTCAATTTTTCATATATACATTCATCCGTTGTTTGATATTATAGGGTGATCATATATCCCCCTCGGAATTATTATCCGATAATTAGCAGGGATATCCGATACCCAGCAGAGAAATATGTGGTATCGCAATGCTCACCGGTCCGTGATCTCTTTCTCTCGGGCTGGCCTGCGGACACCTCCCAGGACAACAACCACAACTACTACTGCTACCCGCATAACAACTCCCTCCTATCGACGGGGGTTCTCACAGGGCTCAATTCGGAGAAATACGGAGTCCTCATCTTCGGAACAAAATGCCTCCAAGGAACGTAGGAGGCGGAGGAGCGACGACTCGGAAGAGGAACCTACTCTGCGGTCGACTTTGTTAAAGATGGGGGAGTCTGCGGCTACTACTCTTGCTTCGATGGCTGTTCTTGGGTAAGCTATCTTGTTCTTTATTATTGATTTTCCTCCATGCTAATACCGGCCAGTATGGTTGGATACGCGTACCATCGGTACTACAAGTATCTCATTCTGGAGAAGATGGAAAACGCCTTCAAACCGGGTGATCCGGCCCTCGAGCTGGCCGGTGTGGAAGACGGAAAGCATCAGTCTACCTACGAGGAGCATTGGGTGCATCGCGATGAGCAAGCCAGAATGGATAGAATCATCTCCGGTAATGCTGGAGGTCGGTATTACCTACTGGTAGGCGAAAAAGGAACCGGAAAGACGTCGATGCTTCTTGAGGCAATGCGCAAAATTGATGGCGAGGGCTGTGCCATGTTCGAAGCTCATGCTGATCTGGAACTTTTCCGGATTCGTCTGGGAAAGGCTTTGGACTATGAGTTTCACGAAGAGTACGTCTACTAAAGCATTCTGATCCTATGTGTGCATCGGGTCACTGACGCCACTTGTACAGTTACATCGGCAGTCTCTTCAGTATCAAGGGCCCTCGGGATACTACCGCACTCCTTGATATTGAGCGCGCTTTTAACAAATTGGAAAAGGTTGCTCTTGCCAGAAGGCGCAGCAAGAAGTCGCCTTTGGTCTTGATAATCAACAGTGCCCACCTGATCCGAGATGATCACGATGGCCAGGATCTGCTTGAGGCGATCCAGCAACGGGCCGAACAGTGGGCTGCAAGTGGGCTGGTGACGACAGGTAAGTCTCATTACATATACCATACATTTATGTGTGAGTATTGACGGAAACAGTCCTGAACAGCGACGAGTACTGGGTGTATGAGCGCCTGAAGAAGTACGCTACCAGAATGGAGGTCATCCCGGTGCGCGACCTCCCGAAAGACCGAGCAATGGAAGCCCTGAGGAAGTACCGCAAGCAGTATTTTGGCCAGGAATTGACCCACGAGGAACTTGAGGAGGTGTACAATCTCGTCGGCGGACGATTATCCTACCTCAACCGAGTTGCCAAGGCCCTAGACTACAAGAAGCTCTGTGAGAGCATCTGCGAGGCCGAGAAGACGTGGTTCCTCAACAAGTGCTGGATCCTGGGGCCTGAGATGGATGACGATGTGATGGACCAACAGAAATATGCTGTAAGTGCAACCCCCTCTGTCGATGACAAGAAACCGGCGCACTGACCGATATGTAGTCTGCGGCAATGGTGCTGGCGAAAGCACTTGTGGACAAGGGAGAGGAAATGGACAGGACGTATGATCCAAAGCTGGGCCACATTCTCCCAGAGATTCCTCTCCATGAAGCGCGACAGATTATGACGCGCGCGGACTTCATCCAGAGCTACGACCACGAGAACATCTTCACCATCGACTCGCGGGCGATGGTGCGTGCGGATTCGGTGCCCATGCAGAATGCGTTCAAGGAGATCTGTGGCTGGCCAGGATTCGACGAGCACTTGGAAGGCACTCTTACGCGCATTGGAGACATTGAGAGCTTGGGACGTACTCGGGAGCTGACGATTAAGGACCTCTGGAACCAAGGCAAGTATCAACTGGTCATGCGGGACCACAAGGGTCGTGAGCAGGGTGCGGCAGAGTTCTCCGTTGTGGAGCCAGAACAGGAAAAGGAGGATAACTGAAGACCAGGTTTAGCCTGGCGAGCCTGTACGATTTACAGAAGATGGAGGGTCTCTGGGATACCTGAGCTCGGAGGATATCTCAGAGTGTACTACTACAACATGTGCCACATGGTGGGAAAGTGGCTTAACCGACCCATGTATTTAGAAGATTCGCTTCGAAGCCACTTACGACTGTCTTATAGAATACACTAACTACACCTCGTCCGAGTTTTTGGGGTCTTTGAATTCTTTGGGGCATCGTCACCGGTGACATCATGGCCAGGGTGCCTCTCACCGCCCGGCAGCTCATTCTGGCCATCGCATCATCCCAGCCTCATCTTTATTTCGCTGCTTGTCATTTTCCTCTCCTCGCTTTCCTCCCCTCTTCTTTTCCTGCCCTCTTCCTAATCCCTCCGACCCTGTCCATCACACCATCAATTTCCATCACCCAAAACAATCCCACCCACCAACAGAGCAATGGCTCCCCGCAAGAAAGAAGTCCTCTCCGCGGTAACAGCAGCCGACGACGATACCGCCGAGAAGACGACGCGCCAACTGCGTCACAAGACGCGCCTGGACCGCATTCACCCCGCCGTGCGCTTCATCCTCGCTGTGCTCGGTAGCTTGACATTGAGCTCGACGCTCTTCTCCCTAACGACGGGGATCACCCTCGGCGAACTAGGCCGCGTGAGCAAACACCTCGAGACATGGTGGGAAGTAGGAGGTCTGATGGCCTGGAAGGCCGTCGAGGTTGGACTTGCCTGGATCATGGGCTTTGACGGTATCCCTCCATCCCGTATAACTTCATATCATCGTCAGTGAAACTAATTCAGCAAAAACCAAAGGTCGCGATGTCCTCTCCTTCACCTATCTCACCCACCTCCCCACCTTCAGCCTCCTCTCGACCTTCTACAGCCTGCGCCCAACCACAATCCTAACCAGCTACTTCATCACTCTCCTCTCCACCACTCTCCCCTTCGTCCTCCTTCGCAACCTCACTCCCCTCCACTCTTTCTCGGATTCCACGCGCATCCCTAACCGGTCCATCCTCAACGACCGCCCGACAACCATCTACACCACCATCGCCGCGGCCGCCATCTTCACCGTCACCCTCTCCCTCAGCTACGCCACGCCCTGGCTCCCCACCACCCTCGTCACCCACTTCCAAGACATCCCCGACGTCACCGCCATCCACGCCGGTCCCGCCGCTCTCCCGGGCCTATTCCTCTCCCTCCTCCCCGCTGGCTTGGCGGCGCGCGATTTCCTCTTCGCCAGCTCGACCGGTGCATCTTCCAGGAACTCCAAGAAGAACAGCAACAACAACAAGAACAAGGAGGGTACATCCAGCCCCGAAGGCGAATACCTAGCCTACACCGTCTACCGCAAAACATGGGGCACCCTGTCCCGCAAGACGCAAGTGCTGGTGTCCCGCACCGTTCTGCTGGCGAGCATGTTGTTCGCCAACACAGTTGTGCAGGTCGCAGGGACAGTGAACCAGGTGGACGCCGAAGGCGCAATGGTCTGGGGTGCCGTGTGGGCCATCGCGGCGGTTATTACAGGCGCGATGTTTGGATGGATTGAGGCCGTGGATGGAGTATAGTTCCATCAGCTTCATTCATCATCAGGTTGAGAGAAAAATTAGTCCCTTTCATCCGATTTATGATGATGTCACTTGGTGTTATTTTCTTTCTTCCTGTTGGTCTCTATATTCCCCCCTTCTTTCCGCCCATTTTTCTCTGTTCAATGAGATGAGATGCCGTATCTCCGTGACACAGAAGCAAAAGCAACATTCTCATACCATGTGGTTTTCTTCCCTTTTCTCTCCCCCCGCTGTCAGCTAGTCAGTCAGTTAGTTATTTCTCCGAAAGCCAACCAACCAACAAGCTAGCTAGCTAGTTAGCACTCTTGATTTTGTCATTTCCTGTTTGCTGTTCATTATTTATTATTTTCCTTTAGTCCACCTACAATCCCAGCCGTGGCGTTTTGCGAAACAAGGAACAATCGAAAAAAGAAAGGGAAACGCAAAAAAGGCGGAACCAGGAGCAGGGATGATGTGGAAATTTGAGAAAAAATTAAGGTTTGGTCTGAGTATCAGGATCAGGGTCAGGAACAGGGACAGGAACAGGGACAGGGACAGGGTATCTATCCGATTCCGGGGTCAAGTGTTTCGGCGGCGTGTTTCAAGTTGGTGTGTTTCAGCGGGTGGTCTTATTTTTGAGGTTTGTTGATCGTTGAGTTGAGGTGATTTATCTGGGGCAATGGTGTGTCTGGTCTTTGGGGCCATGTTACGATGTTATGTTTCCAATGAAATGTTATTTTACTGCTTGGCTATGATTGTCATGATTGTCAAGTATTCCTTTGGTTGAGTTGATTATAGTTGATTGATTTCCATGGTGCTGGGGCAGGGGAATCATCTAGTTCATTAAAGTTGAAATGGAAAAGCTAATTACATAATGCCACACTCCAATCCATCTATCGATATTTTGAACGCTGCGTTGACATACCAGAGACCAGAGGCAAAGCACGTGGACTCGCATTCATGGCGTTGAGAATAAGGTTAAAAAGGTGAAATGGGGTCAATGAATATATCTCTGGAATAGAAAATAGGAAAGGTGAGAAGCGACAAAATTACCGCATCTCCATTCCACTAGCCACCCCGTCAGGAGAGTAGATCTCGCGGTGGAACGGCTTGACTTCGTTTTTAGGCAGCAGCCATCCTGGATGGAAGATGTTGAACACACCAACCGCTAGGACCATCATGATACCGTCCAGGACGATGAAGTACCGCTCGTGCGTGATCAAGTAGCCAGACCACCCCTGCGACAGCTCGATGGTTCGATATATACTCCGAATGTAGATGCAGAGGACAGAGAAGATCATCGCGCCGAGAAGAGGGATGATTGTGCCAGTCATGGTTTGCAGGATCCGCATACGGAGAGTGCGACGGACGAAATCAGCGGCGAGGAAAACAAAGACCGTGATAGACGCGAGCTGGAAGACGATACCGGCGACCATGGTGTGTGTGCCTGGGGCAGTATCGCCGTTGACCTTGTTTACTTCCATCGACGCCATGCCACCTCCCACAGCCTGGACGACCAATGAAATGATATCGCAAGTGACGAAGATCCAGAGATAGAGTTTTGGTCTCAAAATTGAGGTCTCGGGCCCCAACAGGTGGATGAAACGGCCCAGGAGCACGTAGATCCCGGCGGTAAAGAAAGTGGGGGCTAGAGAGAGGCAATTAGTTTGTGTTTCATGAATTGAATATGCGTGTCCCTGCTTGCGTACCGATGATCAAGGTAGAGATTTGCATGAGAAAGGCGGTTCCATTGTATGGGCATTCAGCAGACCAGGTACGTGCTGCCCAGCCCAGGACTTCCGCTGTGATGGCCGAGTTAGCGTACGGTTGAATAGGACTCTTGTAGAAGGGGTTGACATACTGATACATCCAAGAACGAAGACAGCGCACCACCAGGTCCTCTTCCACACCAGCTGCAATGTGTGAAGCAACATCGACAGACCGAAGAGGACACAGAATACAATGCCGGCAGCTAGCGAGGGAACGTAGCCATACGATGTGCCGTAGCCATCGATCTTTGCATGACACCCATAGGTCAATTGCTTCTTGAATTCATATTCCGCAGTAGTGTTAAGGCTCGACATATTGGCGCAAATGGAAGGCCGAGGTGTTCGAGACCAAGTATGCCGAAAATTATATGGCGAGGCCAAATGCGTCTTGGACAGAGTAAGGAGAGAAAGCGGTTTTGAGGCAGCGAAACACACTGCAGATTATTATACGATCAGAAATCGGAAAAAACGAATGACACTGAACGGGCAGGCTGAGCGCTAATCGAGCCTAGAGGGGTTGAGCTATTTGCTGTTGGACATGAATATATGCCTATGAATATGCACGGGGTACCAATCGGCGAAAAGAAAAGGAAAAAAAGAGCATCAGCAAGGAAGAGGCTCTGCCTATAAAGAAGAAAAATGGGAAGAACTGTGATAGAAATCCTTCCAAACTCTGCCCCCATACTCTATTCTTGTCCGTTCAATAGTGATCCCCGTCCTCCTGACTGCCCGTCTCTGGGCGCCACCTGGTACGGCGGGGACACCCGTTGCAGGGAGCAATCTGATTGCACCTCATGAGAGTAGGCAGGGCCTGCCTTGCAAAAGCAAGCACTTCATTCGGCTAACAGACTGGCGAGACCCAAAAAAGAGTTGGGGGACGAGATGATAGCTCGCAAGGTTCGCTCAAAGAGGTTTAGCGCGTCTCGCATGAAGCCGGTAACTCCGGCCTTTTACCATTAGACGGTTTCGCGATAGAATTGTGAACAGACACCTCCCTAAGATGATCATCCTGTTGTCGCTGTAAGGCAGCTCATCTGATAGGATTCTTGACTGTCAAGGATTGTGGTTAGGACCGTTAGTTATGCCGTGTCACTGTTGAACCCAGTAGAATCAATATATGCCATGCAGCCCAGGCAGTGATGCATGGCCAAGACCGATCGGGAAACAGGAAACCCGGGAGTCCGTCCACCCGGCTACCATACCAGCATTAAGGAACAGCACGGAGTACAGTACTAAATAATTCTGAGACGGGATCGGAGCTATGATAAGGCCCGATCCTAGGTTGCTGAACATCGAATGAAACCTGAAGCTAGGCTTCGATCAGACATGATGGATGGGATGTGGTCGTCCATCCAGATCACCCTAGTCAACACCAGGCAGGGAGAGTTAACTTAACAGTAACTCATGAAATGCAAGCGAAAGAATATTGATCGGTAATCACATGCAGAGAAGAGCGGAGAACTTCCCTGCACCGGCAACATCCAAATACGGAAGGCGCGTCTGTCAACCCCGCTGTCCGCCTCAGGCATCAATATAATACTTCCCTCCCTCCTTCCCTCCCTCTCTCTCTTTCTCATTTCCCACGCAGCCTTCAGCTACCAAGTTTCAGCCTCTCGCAACTACAAAACACTAACCACAGTCTTTGGCATGTCACAGCAAGATTCAGGACCACTCACTTCTTGGCGATTCGAGTCTAGCCCCGTCAGTGAGAACCTAGATGTCAAACTCTACGTCCGTATGTGATGGCTACGCTACTGTTGTCCCTATCTGACCAACATGACATCCCTGGAGGCTGCACAAAGACGGTCACTTTAATATTCACTCTTCTCTAGCGCTAATAATAGGTCATGTCTTTTTCATATGCTTCACGCTTAGATCATCTCATTGACTACTCATTCGGATTCATTCAAACGAGGGCATATCATACGTATCATCCGGGTCTGTGCACAGTCAGTATGAGCAATATTCGACCGATCCACGGCAGGTGAAGCTCTTACCTTTGCGGTTGGCCAGAATGTACTTGCGTGTCTCCACGACGTTGTGGTCGAATTCGCTGACCAGCTCGTGCTGCCGGATCTGAACCTTCTCATTCCGTCTGGACGCCCCAATCACGGCTGCCTTCGCCACGTGGTATCGTGAGACGTGATTCAACAACATCATATCGAATGGCGTCGTCGTGCTTCCTTCTTCCATGTATCCTTCCACTGAAACCCGGTCCAGGCGGGGCCGCCCGAAGAGCAGACCCTTCAGCTCGCCCGGGTATCCGTGGTAGTTGAAGTGTATCGGGCGGTCCGAGCCAAACAGGCTGTCGAAGGCTTCGGTGGACAATGCATGTGGATGTAGACCTTCCTTCTCCAGAATCATCAAGTCGGTCACATTGACCACCCGCACCCGGAGTTCTGGACAACGCTTGCGGAGGATGGCCGCCGCGTAGATGACCTCGAACATCACCTCGACTCCAATGCCAACCAGCACGACATCCGGGTCCAGCCCATTGTCGGTGCTACAGAATCTCCAGATCGATGCGCCGGCTCGGCAGTGACTCTCTGCTTCCTCGGGACTCAAGTACACTGGAGTTGGCTGCTTTGAGCCCACCATGAGGTTGACGTAATTCTTGGACTTGAGACAGTGATGAAGGGTGGTCAAAAATGTGTTAGCATCAGGTGGCAGATAAACACGCGCGGCGGTGGGCTTCAGCCTGAGCACGGCTCCGATGAAGGATGGGTTCTGGTGAGAGAAGCCATTATGCTCCTGACGAGCCCATGTACTCGTTTCGATATAGTTGATGCTACTGACCGGCTTGTGCCAGGTCGTCTCTTGAGCCTGTCGTGGCAGTATCCGTTAGTATCGGGCAATCCAAGAAGAAGCACGACAGAAACATACCATTTTGTTGAATTTGGCATATTGCACCATCATAGTGTGGATGATTCCCAAGAAGCTTTCATACGATGGGAAAATGCCCACCCGGCCCGTCAACGTGTATCCCTGCATAAAGCCCTGGCACAGGTGCTCACTGAGCACTTCGATGACGCGGCCGCCTTTCGCATTCGAGAATTGATCCCACTGAAAGTTTCTTCCCGTGTGCGCAAGTGCTGCATCCAGCTTGTTGCTCTCTAGCTCATCTGGTGAGAACACTCGGACGCCGTGGGGGTTTTGGGTAAACACCTGGTCAATGAATTTTCCAATCGTCTTCATAGCGCTTTGCTGGGAGCCCTTTTCTACACCAAACTTTCGCCAATCTGGAAGATCGGGTGCCCTATAGCCCTTGTAGGATTCTGCTCGCTGCCCCAGCTTCTTGGAGTCTTCCCGAGGGATAACAGACTTGATTTCGTCAATGATATCTCCGGTCTCAGTGAAAAGTTCGTGCGGATTATACGAGGAAAGCCATTTCTGCAGAGCTTGAAGCTCCTCGTTGTCCTTCTTTGCATTTGGAAGAGGGACCTGATGCGAATGGAAAGATCCCTCTATGAACGACCCGTGGAGCTCTTTAGGTCCTGACCAGCCCTTCAAGGATAATTAGCGGAGATCCCAGGTTAAGGCGGATATTATCATACCTTAGGTGTGCGCAAAACAATCATTGGCCATCTAGGCTTCATTATTGGCTTGCCAGAACGCGCCGCTTTTTGGATCTTGTGGATCTCCTCAATTGCCCACATCATAGAGCCGTGGAGATCTGCATCGATGTCATCCAGGTTCTCAACAATGCGCACCTGGTATCCATAACCCGTGAAGAGGGAGACCAGCTCTTTGTTGTCCATGCAGCCATAGATGGTGCGCTCGCTGATCTTGAAGCCATTGACGTGGAGGATCGGCAGGACGGCACCTGATTCTGCAGGGTCAATGTACTTGATTGCATGCCAGGACCTGTCTGCTGTCAAATTGTGCTCCAATGGGGTATTGTTAGGTACTTACGTCGCGGTAGGACCAGTTTCTGCTTCTCCGTCACCAACCACGCAAGTGACGATCATGTCTGGATTGTCCATGACAGCACCAAATGAGACGGCCAATGCGTAACCCAGCTCACCACCTTCATGGATTGCACCGGGGGTTTCCGCGTTGATATGGCTTAAAGCAGTTAGCTTGGCTTCAACTCAGATTCCCAGCCAAAGTCATACCTTGGTAAACCAGCGCTTGTGCTGAAAGTCGAGATGAGCTCATGAAGACCATCCATGTCTCGGGAGTAATTGGGGTAGAATTTTTCTAGAGAGCCCTCGAGCCACAGCGAAGCCAGAATAGCTGGAGCGCCGTGTCCAGGTCCAACGACATACAACATGTCCAGGTTATGCTTTCTGATGATATAGTTCAAATGGGAGTATATGAGGATCAACCCGGGACATGTTCCCCAGTGGCCTACAGATCTGTGAGCGGAGCTTGCGGAGGACAGCACCGGGAGCTTGGAGATACTAACCAAGAAGCCTTGGCTTAATATCCTCATGCTTTAGATTCTGTTTCAGCAGCACATTGTCCTGGAGAAAGATCATTGCTTGTGTGACGGGTCAGTGAATGTAGGCTGGAAATTTGGGAGCCTCGATCTCACCAGCAGCAATGTAGGCCGCTGCTCGGCGGAATTTCAGCAGGGCATTGTAGTCAGATTCCTCCAAACTCGTCTCTTGGAGTTTGACCTGCAATTGATTGACAAGGTCGGGGATATGTGAAGGCTCAGCCTTGGGATTTGGCCTATCGATGACCTCTCCAGGCATGGTGATTTGATGGATGTAGATTGGTCGCTTGATAAATCAAAAGGTAGTATATCCGTGGAACTAAGTATTAGGGTCCGTTCGAGATCCTAGGGTCTATGGAGGGGTAGATCTAATAGCACGTGGTAACAAGAATCTAGGCCACTTTCTGCAGCTGTCAAAGATGGTAAAAGAAGGAGATCATACCACTGCCTCGACTGCACTGCTTAAAATAAGAACAGGGAAGCGAGGTGGTGAGGTTGTTGTTGTATGGAGACCCCTGGCAATACGTCACTCGGGGAGTGACATCACCCGCCGTCGCAACCGGGAACTGAGCTGCCACCACCAACAAGCATCAACCCACAACTTCCGAGATCAAGGCTCGACAAGGGTTCAGAAAGCCTATATTTAAATCTTTCTTTCTCTAGTAGCCAGCAAGCTAATTCAACGTGTCCCCGCACCCAACTGCTCCGCAACAACATGGCACGCAAATCCGTCCTCTCCGTCAATGCCGGATCCTCTTCGGTCAAGCTTACCTTCTATACCTACGAGAAGACCCCAAAGGTCATTGCTGCCGCGCAGGTTTCCGGTATCACTGCCCCACCAGCAAAGCTGAAATATACGAGTGGCGACAAGCAACACAAAGAGGAACTCAAGGAAAGCATCAGTACTCCTCAAGATGCCTTCAAATTTCTGCTTCAGCGCTGCATCTCTGATCCCGAGCTTTCCGAAGTCGCCAGCACAGATGATCTAGCCTATATCTGCCACCGTGTGGTGCACGGTGGAGACTACGACAAGTCTGTTGTAATCACCGACGAAACTTATCATCATCTCGAGAAACTGGAAGACCTAGCTCCATTGCACAATTACTCGGCCCTGGAGATTATACGGCATTGCAGGAAGGAAATCCCATCCGTCAGGAGCATCACCTTCTTTGACTCGGCGTTCCATCAGACTCTTCCTGAGCATGTCAAGACCTACCCAATCGACCAGAAGACAGCCAGGTCCAACGGGCTCCGGAAATATGGCTTCCACGGCATCAGTTATTCGTTCATTCTGCGCTCTGTTGCCGAGTTTCTGAACAAACCTGCTGATAAGACCAATATTATCGCAATGCATATCGGAAGCGGTGCTTCTATCTGCGCCATCAAGGATGGTAAATCAGTTGATACCACGTGAGTCTCCTGGCACTTTGTCAAGGACATTTATACTGACATAATTACATATAGGATGGGACTCACACCGCTAGCCGGATTACCAGGCGCTACACGAAGCGGAGACATTGATCCATCGTGAGTCCCAATATGCCCAGTTCAGGAAACTAAATACTGACAGTAGTCCAGCCTTGTGTTCCACTACACCAATGATGCAGGCAAACTCAGTCCTGCCAGCACTAAAGAAATGCACATCAGCACGGTACGTATGCACTTGATGGCAATAGTTACATTCCGCTAACGCATGACCAGGCCGAAGAAATTCTCAACAAAAAGTCTGGCTGGAAAGCCTTGACCGGCACAACCGATTTTGCCCAAATCGCCGTCGAGAACCCACCGACACGGGAACATAAACTGGCATTCGACATCCTCGTTGACCGCATTGCGGGCTACCTGGGCAATTACTTTGTAAAGCTAGACGGCCGTGTCGACGCCTTTGTCTTCGCAGGCGGAATTGGCGAGAAGAGCGCGCTGCTTCGAAAAGCAGTTACGGAGAAGTGTCGCTGCCTGGGATGTGCGGTTGATTCGGGGAAGAATGACAAGGGTGCAGGGGATGGGGAGACGGTAGTGGATATTTCTCGGGGTGAGGACAAGGGTCCTAAAGTATTGATCTGTCAGACAGATGAACAGGTGAGGCATAGCTTATCTCTACCCCTTTGATGATGCTCGATTGTGCGTGTGAACGTGGTTACTAATGATGGATATATAGTTCGAGATGGCATACGGATGCGTCAATCAGTATGAGAGGCCGTAGACAGCTAATCCCTCCTCAGGACAAATGTGGTATCTAGTATTTACGAAGTAATGAATCGAAATAGGAAACTCGTCACAAGATCTCATACCCAATGTAGGCATCCCTTTCCTCAGGCATGCAGTCTCCTGTACGAAAATAAAGTTCAGTTCACCTTTCACTCTACTAGATATAGCGTAGTTCTCTACTAAGTAATCAGACTTAAAATTGACTCTCAGCTTCCTAAACCGAAGTAATAATGTAGAAGTGAAGAACAATGACCACCTTACCCAACAACCGAGTTGAAAGAATGAAGAGCATCTCCCAACAAACCAGACCATCACATAACATTCCAATCACGTTAGTCACCGAGGAACCCGAGACTCAGCCAGCCAGCCAGCCAGCCAACATTATCCGTTGAGAGAGAGAGTTGTAGTCATTGACAACTGAACAAAGAACTGATACTGATTAGTTAGGACTATACTAGGTATATACCCTGTATCCCTGCATTAACTTAGCATGATTAAATATAAACCCCGCTTACTCGTACTCAGTACATACCAAGTACTTAACTATGAAGACTCAATCTGAATGGCACACGTAGTATCTCTACAAGATAGTAGAGCCTTTTGACATCTACCTCGCCAAGAACTGCCATCAAGTTCATGATGTCCAAACTAGACACCACCACCACCAATTCCTTAGTATACTTGTTTAGACACTTGACAGATCAATCATCATCCCTCATCCTTCCCTGTCTATCTATCTCAACCCCAAACACAATATCATAGGATACGAAGCATGTCTTACCCCCACCCCAGCACTATAGCGTAGCGTATCCAAAGAGTGAAACCATAATCACATCCCATCACATCACATCCACCACTACCATAACCACTACCCCTCCGTCTCGGACCCGACAGTCTGGACAGTCCAGACACTTCCATCAGGGATTAAAGGGGGGCCCGGGTGGGTGGCGGGTAATCCTCTCCGCGGGATTTGAAATGGTAAAAATTGTCAAAGGGAGAAGTTTAATCTGAACACACTTTAGTAGTAGATAGGAATGTGTTGAATGTACTACTTTGTAGATAAAAGTGGCAAATCATTATGTTGGAGGAGGGTTGTGATTGGGTGGTTAGTTGTTCTTTTTTCTTTTCTGGGGATCGGTGGTTCGGAGATACTCCATCATCTCCATGAGGGGGATTAGTGTTGGATGGATAGTCATACTAATAATGATGGTGTTGAGTTGGTAGATGATGTGATGAGCCCGTGGGTGTCACCCACTCATTCACCCACTCATTCACTCACTCATTCTGTCAGAGTTTGATAGGGAATCCAATTAGACATTGAAAATCCTCTAGTCGTCGCTTTGTTCCCCCCATCACCTGATCAACAGAAAAGAAAAGCAAAAGAAAGAAGAAAGGAAGCAAAAAAAGCAAAAAGAAATTAGTTCGACCCGCGGAGTTGGTCACTCATCTCCGTCTGACAGGATAAACCAATAGTCAAGCCGTACTTTTGATAAAGAAAAGATAGATAGATAGATGCACGATTATCGGGGTCACTCATTCACTTGCTCATGCAGCTAGAGGGTTAGCTGGGACAACAACACTTGGTCTAGATGGGGCGGGGGCCATCCATGTATAGTAACACTATGTAATAATAATAATAATAATACTGATATAATAATAATCATAAGAATAATACTCCGGTTCTATTATGTAGTCTAGACTATCTACTACAATATGGAGTAAGTCAGTACTTTGACGGCAGACATGGATGTTCTCTTCTAGTGGAGCATCATTATGGCAGCTAAAAATGGATGTGTATAGCTGCCATATGCCGTGTGAAGGAAGAGTGGCTCCACTGACAAGGGATCCAGCATCTACCTAAAGAGGTAGGTAGGTACTACTTCTCCATACACATCGCATAGCAACCATTCTAGAACTTTCTCAGTTAAGATCAATTGCTTTCATGGCGAAAGAAGAGAAGTGGAGGCGGGGGGAGGGGGGGGAACCGCCTCATCTCGGCGGAGATGTATGATCGCTCACTTGCGCTATCATCTCCGGGAAGATAGGTAGGTAAAATAACTCAGCTACTGTAAAAGTATGATCTGATCTATCTATTCAGTCACTACTTAACTATCTAGCTTTCTTCAGTAAAGAAAAAAAAATAATTATAGTAATAAAATAATAGCTAGCTAGCTGGGTCCGCCACGGAGGCGACCTGAAGATCATCACTCCGAATCGGGAAGTCTGTCAGATGGATGCATGGACCGGGCCCCCTTCAATCCCTTCCCTTCCCTTCCCTTTGGGACGGATGGAGGGTCGCTCAGCATCCAGACTAACGATGAGGCTGACGGACGGGTCAAGGCGATCATCACGCATCAATCTGTGTGGTTTGCTGGGTGGCTGAAGAAATAAAAGAAAATATGTCTTTGAGGTGATACGGGGGGAAGGAGAGACGGGGGGGAGGGATGCACCATGACCTAAAAAGGGGAACTGAAATATGGTCCGGAACGGGGAAGCGAAATGAGGTTCCAGAGTGGCGGGTGGATGCGTTAGTTGGATTGACATGGAACTTGATACATCCACCGTGGACCTCTTTCTTTCCCTTCCCTTTTCTTTTCTCTCCCGTGACTTACTGTAGCTGTAGCTGTGTAACTATCATGTATCTATCCCGTCCGTCCGTCCGTCCGTCCGCGCGCGCCTCCCCATCCTCTATCTCTCTTTCTCTCTTTATCTATCAATCTAGAATATCTTCCTCAGCAGAGGAAAAAGAAAAGAAAAAAGAGTAAGGGAAAGATAGCAAGCACAAGAAAGAGAAAGAAAAAGAAAACATTGACAGGGCGACACGGGACATCCTTATCAGGTGAATCATCAACCCAAAAAAAAACTATCTATCGAAAAAAAGTCGCCATCATCCGTCCGCACTGTTATTGGGAAGAAAAGAAAAAAAAAAAAAAAAAAAAAGAATAAAAACACACCTCCCTTTTCCTTAGTATTCTTTCATTCAGTTCAGCCCCGTTCGTAATAATGAGCCGAGAGCCCAAAGGGATTTGCAGACGATCCGATCAAGTTTCCCCCCTTCTAGAACGCCATCCCGTGGACGAGAAGTGGACACTAAAGGAAAGCCGGCTGCGATTCCGCGCGCCTCTAGTGCTGTAGTTCTGTAGGGTTATCGAGTTTCTCTTTGGTCTGTTACCACTCAGGTGGATCAGGGGGAGAGAGTGTGTGTGAGAGAAAGAGGAAAAAGAGAAAGAAGAAGGGTGAATATCGTTACCTGGTTAGGGATAACGGGTTGGACGTGTTGTTTTGTTGTTAACTGCAAATTACCTACTTTGTACGAAGTACTCTCTCTAGTATCTCTCGCTGGATCAGTCATGTCGCATGGATTCTAGTTGCATTACTATTGATTTTGGGTTATGGGAGTAAAGCACACTAAAATGATTGACTGAATGACAGACAGCTCAACTCTCAGCTCAGCTCAGCTCAGCCCAGGAACTTTGCCTAGAGTCTTGGCAGGTACCAACCAACCGACTAGTTTTTCCGGCCTGAATGTTCAGGTTTTCACGCCACTGTCAAGGCACGTGTTCCACCTGGATGGATAGTAGCTGTAGAACTGAAGAATTGCCGCCTTGATTGAGAGCTTAGCTAACAGTAGTATGGATGATGAACAAGGGAATGATTTACTTTTCCAGCAAGGAAATACTTGTACCCATAATGGCAATTGATCATTCACTTCAGCTCTTCGGGGATTTTCTTCATTCACTCACTGTCCCATTCCACTCAGCGCACATACATATTTACTGGGTAGAGACGGGTTGTGTTGATGCAAGACTACTACTTACTATGTAAAACAAGACAATGTCTTCACTTCCACTTCTGCACAGGGTAAATCGCCAAAAGTACGTACGTACATTATTTACCTGATCAACAAGATGCAAAAAACGCTTTGGCATTAACCATAATCAATCTAGCAAATGCAGTTCCCCCTGCGTCGGTCGCATAACCCTCGCCCATTCCCCGTCCCATAGTTTTCTGCAAGGTACTATGCAATGGCGAACAGACCTCCTCTTCAGAAGCACATCATCCTCATCCTTTTTCCCTCTTGGCTATAGTTTAAGTAGTACAGTAAGGGTAAGTTAAGTGGTTTGGTTTTCGTGTTTCACGGCAGATCGGTCGATCCTCTCTCTCTGGCTACTGTATTCTTCATTCGGGATGTGCTCTGCAGTATGTATGTCTGTATGTATCTAGCCACATGCAGTACATACATCCATTTATCTCTTTCTGTGGCTGAATTAAAATGATCTGCTGCAGAATAATCCCGATACCCGGCCGTACTATACAGCGATACCATGGAAAGTAGAACAGGGTCTCGATCATTCTGGTATGTTCCCTTTCCACGGGGAATAAAATAAAATCGGACGTTGAGGTGTTGCTGTATTTGCTAGAATTAGATTGCTTTTTCCTGCATGGCTAATGCACTTTGCCGATGCGGGCTGAATCATGTCCAGTCATATTTTTGCAGGGAAAACTAAACCATGCTTAACCCTTGAACCTTGAACCTGGTTGTGGGAACGAATGAACTGACGAATGAGCCATTCGGAAGTGAAGTAAAGTAAAGTACATGCTCACTTCGTGGGTAAGGTAGTTAGTAGTAGTACTTCTGGCTCCGTGTTCGGACTACTTCGGCCCATCCATTGATCAATCAATCAATCAATCAATCTACATCCAACCACCACCGTCGGAATTTCCTAGACATGTTTCGAACGAACTCCAAGATGAACGTTCTCGCATGATAGGTCAGTTTTTCTCATCGCTGTTTCCTTGTGCGGGAATTATTAGTGGCTTGCAAGGGAAAAAAAGTTTGAAATGATGGATCATGAAACTAATCACAATCATGTGGTCTGATCCCTGTTTACCATTTACCACTTACCAAAATTGTAAACAAGCAAGCAAGTAGCAGCTCGCGACGGATTCTCAATGGATTGATTGATTGCTGGATGTATCCATTATCTATCCAAT